ATGCTACTGGCTAAATATCATCAGCCTGGGCATTTTGGTTATTCAGAAGATGTTGTTTAAAGGTTTTTAAGACAATTGACCCCAGTGACTTTGAATATAATTGAAGGTCATTCATTTGAACAAACTTGGTAGCCCTTCACTCAAGCATGCTACTGGCCAAATATCGTCTCCCTGGGCAGTTTGGTTATCGAGGAGAAGATGTTTAAAGTTTTTAACATATTTGACCCATGTGATCTTGAAAATGGGTGAAGGTTGTTAATCTTAACAAACTTTGTAACCCTTCCTCCCAGTTTGCTTCTGGCCAAATATCATCACCCTAGGCCTTTTGGTTAATAAGAAGAAGTCGTTTAAAGTAAAATATTGACGCCGGACGACGGCAGGAGGTAAATGTGTACACGTCAGATGATCGGTGTGTACACGTCAGGAGGTAAATGTGTACACGTCAGATGGTTAGTGTGTAACGTCAGGAGGTAAATGTGTACATATTAGATGGTCGGTGTGTATACGTCAGGAGGTAAATGTGTACACGTCAGATAGTTGGTGTGTACACGTCAGGAGGTAAATGTTTACACGTCAGATGGTCGGTGGGTACACGTCAGGAGGTTAATGTGTACACGTCAGATGGTTAGTGTGTACTCGTCAGGAGGTAAATGTGTGTACGTCAGATGGTCGGTGGGTACACGTCAGGAGGTAAATAGTCCGATAACAATAAAAAAAAATCGGACATAGAAGCTACGGTTCCCGCAGCTAGGGTGGTACATGTCAGATGGTGGGTGTGTACATGTACACGCCAGGAGGTTGCAGGGTACATCATGAGATCGGTGTGTTTGTTGGGGAATGAGTATGTTCGTACGTAATCTGTGTCCTGGTCGATGCGTTTAGACGGGATGATAATTTTGTACAACTTAGAAAAGTGTTGTTTAAAATTACAATGTAGCAGATATGTGTGTACAAGGTTGGATTAGTTTTGTAAATGGTGAGAGACAGATACGTGTTCAAGTTGAGATGTGTTCAGATATTTAGAGTGTATGTAAAATTGAACGGAATTCGTATTAAGTGACCCTTTGGTTATCAGTCCTTAAATGCTGATTTAAGACGCAGAAGGTTGGGGCACAATGTAAACAAGCCTGATATAATGTTAGAGGTACGTGCGTTCTTTTTTTGCAGATAACTATATACTCCCCGAAATACACCGCTGGCGGTTCAATATGACTCTGATCGCAGATAATGCCCCTGTACTTCCGGCCTAGCCTCCTACTCTTCCGTCCAATGTGTGAAAATGACATCCTAATAAGATCCAATTACAACAAGAGCACGTATGTCCGTAAGCTATTGCCGTATTATTTTTGTATTCTAACACAGACGGTAGCCCTGTATCATTGTTACAACACCACCTCGCCTTTCTTACTCCAATCAACCTTTGATTCCTGATCGTGTAATTCTCACATCATTATTAAGGTCTGTCACGTCCCACGAGATTGGACGTCCAACTGTTGGTCACATGTGTTTCGGTTCAAATTTATCTCTAATAGAACATGTTCACGTCTCCTCACAGTTTAGATAAACGAGTCTGATGTGTTCAATCAATATTAATTTTGGTCGGGGCTTTTAAAGCTATTGTTATTTTCCTGGGAAGAAACCATGCAAAAGTTCTATTGAACAGAATCACGAGCCGTGAACCACTGGACTCTCTATCTGATAATATTGCCATTACATCATCTACTTTGTTACTTTACTTGGATCGTCATTTGGTGAAAATCGCATATAACTTTGGAAACACATGTGGTGCGAGTTCTACATGACTTAGCTAGGAGGCATATGGAGATATATATATATATACAATTATAAACAAGGTTCACGTTGTACATTGTTTATGTGGGGAAATAAGACAACTCCACCATGTTGGAAAATATCGGCACTTTTGTTCAACATTTACAATCGATTGATACATTCTAATAAAAATTATTATTTTATATCAATAGTCAGTCCCAGATTTTGTTTGAACCGTTATGTAATGTTAACTACACAACAGAACCCAAATAGCGAAGTACACAAATAAGTGAGCGAGCTAGATTTGCAGTACGACTGCACATGGTTCAGGTCTAGATGGATTCGGGACCACATACAACCAGTGCAGGCTAAAGATGATACAAAGTTTAATTTCAATATGAACTCCGGAAGTTAAGTGCCCCTCACCCAACCTAATTAAATATAGGAACAACATCTCCTTTGAATTCCGTAGCCATAATTGTCGCGAATTCTTCAATTATATACGTGCATTAAAAGATCGACAAGAATATAGGATAAACGGGACATTTTAGTTTATTACTCTAAGGACATACTTGCATTTTATAACTATTAGTTCTCATACTAGACCAAATCATGGTAATCTGGTGGTGTTTTGGCCATCTGATGTGTGCTGTTAACAGCTGAGTGTCACATGATCTTTGCTTGTCATGTGATATGGTTTTTGTTGAAGAATAGTGAGCAGCATAATAGTACCTCTGTTTAGAGGGGGAAAAGATCCTTTGGTGATCTAACAAAAGACAAACCATAGATGGCTTTCCTGATGACAAAGTAGATCGACAGTCATATTTAACAAGACAAAGTATGAACTATAAATTAAGAACTTTGCAAATGACAGCACGACGTATGAAATACTAAAATCAGATACCACGGCCAAAATAAGTTAGTCCACATATAATGTATCGATGTTAATTTATGTTTAACTATACATGAACATTAAGATATACATGTACCTATTTAATGTGTTTTTATTGGAAATAGTAGATCTTCTGTTAAGAGAACAAATGCAGGAGCACCTCAGGGTTCGGTTCTTGGCCCATTGCTGTTTATACTATATATTAATGACATAACAGATAATATAGAAAGGATATAAAAACTTTTTGCTGATGACACCTCTCTTTTGTATTCGAATAAATCACCACAAGTAATTGAACAAAAAAAAAATAATGATCTCGTAAATATACAATTGTGGGCAGATAAGTGGCTTGTTAAATTCAATCATGCAAAAACAGAGGCTTTACTTATTTCTAATATTGAACTTGATCACCTCATTGAAATTAACTTTAATAATGTAAGTATTGAATTTGTTGAAAATCATATCTGGGAGTATTCATCAATGCTAACTGTAAATGGACCTATCACATTGATAATATATGTAAAAAATTAGTTAAACAATTAAGTGTCCTCCGTAAATTGAAATATACCCTGAACCGACGTACACCGAATAAAATATATAGAATATTGTAGTGAACTTTGGGATGGTTGTTCTATTACTGATTCAGACAAATTAGAAAAGCTTGAAGCTGGACGTATTGTCACTAGTTTACCATCGTTTACTAGTAGACAATCTATATATAATGAAACTGGATGGGATTCTCTAGCCCATCCTAGATCCCGTCGAAAACTTCAATTATTTTTTTAAATCCACAATAATATAGCTCCTAACTTTCTCAGCACTCTACTCCCTTCCCTTGTAAATATAACGAACAAAGAATTAAGCTTATTCGTGAACTGAATGAATACATGCCTCTTAATTTAAATCTACTTTTATTTGGAGATACATCTCTTTCGGAAAACATGAAAACATAACGATATTCATGCATACTCAGCAATACATTCGTGACTCTAACAGATTCTAGTAACCCCCCCCCGCCCCCCCCCCCCCCCCCCCTATCCTCTCTCTCCCTCGCTCTCAATTGAACCATACTATCGACTCTATCTAAGTATAATTGTCTCGGAAATGATGAAAATGATTGATAGTAACAAATTAATAAAATTTTATGTAAATAAACCATGTGCTTGGTCTTTCTCTGTGCAGACGGACTAGTAGAAACGGAAATACCAGAAAGCACGGAACGAACAGGAGGAAGGTTTTATAGGGATGTGATGAACAAATTTGAACATGCAGAAAGTTGTGATAAGCGAATTGAGTAACACTTGTCCGTTTGCATGGATAAAAACAACTACATGGTCCGATATGTTTTTTTGTACTATCTGTTGCTTTGGAGGCAGATACAATGTGTCCTACATTAATAATGATGAGGATGTATGTATTATAATTACAGACTATTAGCCCCCCCC